AATATTTTTAAACTTGCTTTAAGTGTAAATATAAATACATGTTTAACTTGAAAAATATATTTATAATGTATATGCAGTCCATGAATAGTGTTTCATTAAAATTATTTCTTCAGATTCTTCTACTTCATTTGCTTGCAATTTCAGGCGATCTTAATCCTTTCAAGTAGGAGAGTATTTCATTTCGCTGCGTATAATCTTCATAGTGCTACACCATTATTTCAACTTGTTCCATATTGACAGAATATTGGTTAGACATTTCTTTTAGGCTTTCAGCTAGTAGACATTTAGCTGATAGACTTTGTAGTTAGTAGAAATTTTTATTGGTAGACATTTTAGTTGCGGACGTTTAATCATTAGACTTGAGATACCTATAGACCACATTTCTATTAGACATTTCTTCTGTTATTCCGTAATATAGTTAAACATTTTTCTTACACACATAATGATCTTGAAACTTCAGGGGAATTATTTACATAAGAATTACTTTTTAAAATTATTTGAAGTTTAATCATTCTTTGTTGAGAAACATAGTAACCGAGTATCTTTTTAAATTGTTACTCGTTGAGCAAAGCTAAGATTAGATTTGATGAGTAAATAGCAGATGTATGGACTAAGTATAGTTCAAGAGAATTCTCAGAGATATATTCTTAGATTATGTAACTATTCTCCTTGTTTGTGAAGAGAAATGCATGTAAGATTTGTAGTGCGAAGGTACAGTATAAATTGCAAGACAAAATGTTTCAAGTATTATCTAAGAAATCCCTCATAATTACTAAAATGTGAAATGTGAATTTCTGATTTAGTGAAGACTGTGGAAAAACAAAAATGTACATTTCTGTTTTTTTGTATCTGTTATGGCTGTGTGCTTTACAAGGCTACAAAAGTTTCAAGCGTATTTTGTGGGCGTATATTTTCTTTTCGGGCGACAGGTAATAGTGTATGCAATTTTGTACATTTTTGTTTTACAGTCAATATTATAAAACATTTTATCAAGTTGTTTCTGTATTATTTGTTGTAAAGAGCGGTCCCACGTCACTGTTTATAAATTTGAATATAACTCATACCCCTTATTTGTACCCGACGTAAAAGGGAAATTATAATATAAAGAACGCCGAGAAGGATTGTCGAAAGACATTCTTTCGTTGCAAGATAACGCGCATCCATATTCCGCCTCTCAAGCTCTTTAAAATCTGAATTTCGAGGAGTCAGAGCATCTCTGATGCAGTTCCTATTTTGTAATGCCTAGTTACCATCTGTTTGGTCCACTTAAAGTGGTTCTAAGAGGCCAAATATTTGTCTCCCACCTACATGAAAAGAAGCAATGGCTTGTCTTACTGTTCAATCGAAAGTTCGTATTTTCTGAGGGGGGGAGCTGGTACTAAGATGGACAAAGTACACTGAAAATATAGCGACTATCTTGAAAAATGGTCTCACTGTTAATTTTATACTGTTGGCAATTGTAAAAATTGCGTATATTGCGCTATTGAGCTACACACACACTTTATCAATGATATGTACTATGCTTGTGAGGCAATGGTTCATATTATTCGACATTGCGATTCGAATTAGCGTACTACTGCAATGCCGATTTACAAGAAGAATGGCATCTTGAAAACCGACATTTTTGAGTTCACTGATGAAATGCAGAAAATAGTACATATTTATTACTAAAAATGTGATGAAAAAATTTAACAAGATAGTGAATCAATTTCGGAAATTACTCTTATTTGGTTAACAAATAAACTTATCTGTTCATATGAAAATCGTTCTTCAAAATAACTTTTAAGGGGAGCCATTTTCGTCAAAACAGAAGATAGAGGAATGCCAGAAATCAATAGCCCACAACAATACGAATACATTACAAGTAGGCTGCTAAACAATTCTGAATAAATTTGATGTAAAATACGTTGTGAAATATTGTATTAAGGCAAAACTGAACAATGGCCCTCAGCGAGTATCGATGACTGGAGAAAACGAAACGATGCAAATTTACATATTGACGGAGTTGACATTGGAGGATTTGGAGACGAATATTTTTGAAGTACGCAGCAAGCAATTGCAGATACGTTTGTACACAAAATTGGTTAAAAAGAGTCTAGATTTAATCATACGTTTTACTAAGTATGAGCAGATAATCAAGGAGAAATAAGAGAAAAAAACATACGCACATACGTATTAATTAATTAATGTTAATGGGCAGTATTCAATTAATGCTTTTGTTACACTGATGTGCTACAATGCTGTTTCTATACACTATATCACAAATATTGGTGTAAAGTGAGTTTCGCTTAATGACGAAGTCATATGACATACAGATAGGTATCTGAATATAACACCCATCTTTTAGGTCTTATTCGGCATTTGAATATTAACAGAAAATAGGTGGGCTTGTTTAAAACTATCCATGAGCAATCGAATGTGCCAAGACGCAAACACTACGAATCACGTATAAAACTGGAGACACGCAAAGCAAGCGCTAAAGAGACAGGGGTTGCCGGAGAGCAGTGCATTCGATGAGCGTGAGGCGGCAGGGGCACGGGGAGGGGGAGAAGCCGGAGACAGGAGCTGCTGCCGGCGCAGGGTAGCCCTTGCGGCCTGCGAAACATCTGCCGCGCTCAGTAGCCGCTAATCGAAAAATCGATGAGATCGCGGTCGGATGGACGAACGTGCGAGATATGGTGCGGGCGGACGGACGGACAGTGGGCGGTCGTGTGGGCAGGCGGAAGGGAGGGTGTGTGGGCGGGGCTGGTAGTGGGGCAGGCAGGTTGGATCGGGAGTGGGCCGGGCGGGGGGGGGTAGCGGAATGGCTGGCGTCCGCCCGAGGCGGCGTCCGCGCGCCGCAGAAGCATTCTCCGTTGACCCGCTCTCCACTCGGCTCACTGGCCTTCCTCAATCAACTAACTCTTGGAATTCTGTTCCCCCATCGCTATCTCTCTCCGTCTCCTCACTGGCGGGTTCAAATGATCTCTAGCGTAAAGGCTGGAGGCGGCACCGCTCGCTTTCCTCGTTTGTATCCCTTTTACCTAAGTGTGTGCTTGAAGTGCTTGAAGGACAGACGTGGTTTGAGGGGGAGGGTCCCTAGACTTCCTGTACTTTCCTTTCCATATATTTCTTTTTTGTTTCTCTACTTTCTCTGTCATAAGAGTACTTATAATTCTTTGACTTCGATCACTGCATTTCCACTCGCTGAATCTGGTCAATGACCCAAAAACGTGCGGAAAATAATTCAAACTTCTATCCTCCCCGCCCCTCAACGTGATATACGTACCAAGTACCACGACATTTGCAAGTGTTAAAAGGTCGGTCTTTACCGCAGAGGACATACAAGTACGTTTCTTACTGTGTTTTATATGCATACATATGTAATGTTTTCAAAAGTTTGTTCGAAATTATTTTCCCGTTACATTTTCATTAATTTTCTTTTAGATGTAATTCAATACTTGCCACATCCTTGCTTACAATATTTATATGCATCGACGTCTTGTCTTTGCTCGTTCAATCCGTGTCCAGAGACTGAGGTCATTTTGAGAAAGTGTGCATCAAGATGTTAGATACCAACGACTCATTAAGAACTATTACGATATATTTCCATTAGTCCCTGGTGTACTCCGTAATTTGAAACTTTGCATCGATACTTATTTTCATTTTTACATAATTATTGCTCACCAACAATATGGCCGGGGAGCAGTTCAACAAGAACTTGAATTATGTTTATATTCCTTCCGTTTACAACAATAAGGATGCATACATTATAATTTCTTTCTTAACGCAGCCTTAATTGCTACAAAATTAAGTATAATATTATCTGTTTGGAAAATTACCCTCTGACTTCTGTTGTATCTTCCTTCGGGGATATCAGAATTATAGGAAATTACCCTTCATGTAATTAATTTGCACGGGTATTTAAAAAACATAATAATCATAAAACAAGAAAAAAGTGGAAATTGGTAATTTATTTAAACTGAAGAAATGCATAAACTCTAGTGGACGATATTATAAAATACAGATGTGATAAAATTTGAAAATGTTGATAAAAAACTGATAACGTAACTGGCACCTGAAATTTGAGATTATGCTACAAATGTTAAAGAGAAAGAAAAACTTACCTTCGTACCTTTCATATTCGACGTTCAAAATAGATCACTCCTGTGGTTTCTGAAAATTCCGTAACTAAAATTGTAAGTGTCAATTCTCAAAAAAAAAAAAAAAAAAATAAAAATAAAAAAAAACCTATATATCAAAAGACAGAGAATGAGTTCCCCCAACGAAAGACGTTATGATTTGTATTCATTACATTCTATCAAAATTTGATTATCAGAATACAAGTAGAAGAGATATCAACAGAAATATTTATTTCCGCCATCAGAATCATACCAAGCATTTTAATCACAATATAGAAAAGTCACCAAAATGTTTTTCATTGATTCACTTTCTCAATCATTCGTTGTCTGAATTTTCAAAACTATTGAAAATGTACAAAATCAATATTTGTCATTCATGGAAAAACTATTTTCAGCTCTAAAAGATAATGTGGAAGACGTAAAATAAAGAAAAATGTTTCCCGTTTCATGCATGAGCAGTCGAGTTCTGATATACTAATGAGCTACAAATTCCTTTGCGGAGTACAAATATACAGAAAATTCATTCGTGAAATATAGACAGTTGGAAAGTCCCTACGGAACAGGATAGAGGAAAAGGTTTATTCTAAGAGAACAGAAAAAGCTAGTCTTTTTTTTTTCAACTTTCCATGGAAACGGAACCAGTGGGAACGCAAGGGTAGCAACAGTTTCACTGGAAAAGAGAAAAGCCAACTGCCAAGCACGTTAGTTTCAATAGTTCCCTTTTATTCTGAATAGGACAAACAACAACAAATGTACAGTGGCCCCGGGCGGCGCCGCCGGCAGCGGGGGCGGCGGCGGCGGCTGCTGCTGCTGCGGAGGCGGGGGCGGGGGCCGGCTTCAGCCAAGAGGCGCTCCGCGCGGCCGGCCCCGCGCCCCGCGCGCCGCCGCGCCGCGCGGCCGGCGGTAGCGCCCGCCGGCGGCGAAAACGCACACTAAGCCAGAGATGTAATCAGAATAATAAACTTATGAAATCTATGAGCGATATAAAATTTCCCTTTTCTTATATAGCTTTGAAACTCTTGGAGTTCACGAGTTTTTTCCTCTTTATTTTTTAACTTATCAATGTGTTATTAATGTTAGTATTATTTTTATTATTCTTGTTACAGCGTAGCGAAAAGAGAGAGCGGGCTCCCACTCGCACGTATGTACATGCTACGGGGGTATGTACAGGGGGCGCGGGTGCCCAGGACCTCCAAGCGCGGGCCAAAGGACGACGAAGAGGGAGCAGGAGGCGCGAATAAAAAGAAGGTTGAAGACGTAATTTGGAAGGAGGGGCTGAAGAGGGGAGCTGGGAAGAAGTGGTGGGCCACTGCAAACGCCGGTAATTGAGGAAAACGGGCTCGGAAAATGAAAAAACGAGGTTTGGGAAGAAATCGCGTGGTATTAAAAAAAGCGGCAAAAATATACGAGGTGGTTTGAAGAGAGAGGTTGTTAGAAGTACCACACCTTGCCGTTCTCAGTATGCATAAAGGAATTTTCTTCCTACATAATGTTTCTTTCTTCGCAGTTTCTAAATATTGTTTTTATCATACTCTGCTATTCATGGGGCATTCCACGCGTTTCTTGGTCGTGTAAGAAACAACAAACTTCCCTACAGAGAAAAGACGCGCAAAGGGGATTTGTTTATTTACTGTTTAAGAAAAGAATGATAATTTTGTAGTCAAGTCACGTTGGTCGGAATTGCCTATTACGAAAGAACCTATAACTCAGCGTCAATAAACTTCTTGGAAGCGATATAACATCTGGCAAATATATTATTTGAACTGCATCAACGTTCTGGATTACAACAGGCAAGAATTTGATAGGCGCTTCAAAGACAAACTCGTAATAGCAATTAACTGACGTCTTCAACGTCATAGAAAACTAGGCAAATGTTACAGTGCAAGTGCACTGACCATTTGACTATAGAGAAATATTGTTTGTGCTTGCAGCAGCTTATAAAGATAATAATTAATGAACGTAGTAATCAGATTAAAAATTCACACTACGCCTTAACACTTGAGGGTCATCGAAGCAGCATCGAAATCAGAGATTGTATCTCTCAGGCTTCGAAAAGAACTAGTTACCCGAATAAACATCTGACATCATAACATATGATGACCCAATGAAGTTGAAGATTCCACTCATCCTCATACGTCTTTCGCGGAAAATGTGAATTTATAAAAAATCGCGCTTGTGTACCAACGTATATGTCTGATATATTGAGACCCGCACAGACAGTTCTTTTTGACCTTCTTTTATTATTAGAGACGACTCGAGACGCGATAGTTTCCGTAGTCTAGGCGCTTACAATATTTCTTATTGAGGTGAGCGTCTCCAAAGCCCTTAATGCAACCGCCTGACTGCAGCGATGGCGACAGCCGGTCCCACGCCCGCGCCGCGGCTGCCTTTCTGCGACGGGGGCGTGGCCGGGTCGCCACGCCTCGCCATGCGACGATGTACAGCAACCCTAACCGTTGCTTCAATATGAACTTTTATGCACATTATCGCGCCCATAATATTCGTCTGGTTTTTTTATTTCTTGGAGAAATGTCAGTACTCATTTAATTCTATAATATTGTGTATTTTTGTTGATATATTTGATGCAAATCGATTTCTTCTTTCTTTACAAACTTTTCGAATGTTAAATAACGGCCTCAAACGTTAACCACTGATAAAAAATAATTCGTGTATTGAATTGTTACACATGTCAATTTTTGAATTTAGATATGTTGTCAAAAATTGAGTAATAAACTTTTGAAAGATTAATTACTAAATACAAATATGTTTTATATTACCAAAAGAGTTTTAGACTGTTTATTAAATTACAACGATTTTGATATTTGATGTTTTTTTAGACGCTAGACTCCTAAGGAGTGAAATATCTACAAAATATAAAACAACACATTTTTTGAGGGTGGTATGTGTATGACTATAATTTCAAGATTCCAATAAAAGAAACCAATAAAATATCCATTAAATTCTAAATTGTTTCACAGTTCACAAATAATGATTTTATGGTGTTTTAATAGAGCGCTGAGCTCTCAAATTTTGAAGTAATTATTTTATTAGATGAGATATTAATGATCATAATGATGTCCAAAAGTCGGTAATTCATAAACAAACCAATTGCAATCATACGAAGGCAATATAACCTTCTAAAAAATACGACACGACCAAAATCTCGTGTGAACAATTAATTCTCTATAGGCAGACTCCAAACTCGCACGGGCGTGGTACAGTGAGGCGCAAAAGCGCGGGAAGGAGCGAAGAGGTTGAGTGTGTTCGCGCCCCGGCGCATGCGCAGGCAGCCTGCGCGGGGGCGGCGGGAAGGGCACGAGTCCGGTCGCAATGACCGGGAGGCGCAGCAGAGAGGGGCGAAGGGCCGGCAAGGGCGTGGAGGGCGGGCGGCCGCTCTCGTCGCCGATCGCCGTGGGGGTGGCCTCGGTCGCTCGCGGCGGTAGCCGAGCGTACCCAAGAACTCGCGATCGTGGCCGAAAACGTCCGTACATACACAACGTACGCGGAAGATTGAAAATTATCCAAAAAAAGGAAGTCGGAAATCTCTCTCTTTCTCTCTCTCCCTTTCTTTCTTGAGACGATAAAAATATCTCCAAGTCGTCGCACAGCGACTCGTCATGTCTGGCAAATAAATACACTGTGTGATTAGGAATACACCAAATACATTCAAGAGTACATGGCAGTGCACACCAGTCACCAGGCAACCAGATACCCCGCCACCGCCATCACCGAGGGAACTGCCCCGACACCTGGCGGCTGCGGCTGAAGCTGCAGTCCCACCGAGGCCTCGTAGTCCGTTGGAGCTTTGGCGCCCAACGTGGGGCGAGGCGCGTGGCGCGGGGCGTCGCGTCCGGTGGGAGGAGAGGGGCCACAGATCTCCGCTTGCGCCGGCGCGGCGCGGAGGGGGCACCTGGCGCGAAGGGGCGGCGACGTCGTCTTCGTCGTCGTCGTCGTCGAAGGCGGCGGGACCGGCGCAGGCGAGGCCTCCGGCCGCGGGGGAGTGCGGGACCTGCGACAGAGACGGTGTGAAGGAATGGGCCAATTGATTACGTCTGCATGTGGAACCTGTTTTAGGGAAACACTGTTGTGAATGCTCTCAGATTTCTTAACAATCTTACGTATGTACGTGCATGTTAAAATATGGAAGTTTGTTGAGTAAGGGTGTTCACGTTTCAAGCAGATGAATAACTAATTTAACCATCTGACGATAACATGCTCTGCATTCACAAGGCGAATCTGAGTTGTAAAGAACAAGACATTGTTAACTATTGTCTTAAAATATACACGAAATTTGATAGTTGGAAATTTTCAATTAGTTTCTAAGTCTAAACCCTTAGAAACACCATAGTTTATTTTCACTATCTAACGGGCCACGGAGAGCGCACGATCTTTCTGACTTTACCCTTCTCTCCTCCTCCTCTCTCCTCACACATTTACTCTTACATGCACTCCTACATATACTACCTCACATATGGAGAGACCAGTTGGGAGCTTATAGGCTATACCGGCCAACACGGTGCTCCACGGACAAGATATCTCGAGGGTTAAACTCTTCTAGCCAACTTATATTCAGCGCTAGAACTCACTTTTCAAGCAGGTTAATGAATGTTATCATCTCCCGGTGTTAACATGCACTCACAAGGTTAATGTGAGTTTTATAGGACAATGTTTTACGCGGCTGAAAATACTATATGCTAACGAAATATGTGGTTAACAACATAGACTCTCGTTTATCCACCAATCGTCTTGGTTTTTCAACGCGATAAATTATATTTTCTGTAATATTGTTTAACTATCTGAAAGCTTGTTGAAATAGTTCAACATCAATATTTGAACAAAGGAACTAACTGGTTTATTTTTAATTATGTATTCATTGCTGTAATGTTAAATCTTGAAATAACTTAATTTAATTTTGGGATTTTGTGGATAATTATTGATTTGTGACTTTTTTCTATTGGAACCTCTTTTTAGATTCAACGTCTTCCAAAAGAGCGTGCATAAGCGAATTCGGTTATTCAAGGTTATACAAATACGAATTACATAAGGGAATTACTTTGAATAAGAAGTCAAGTCTCCGCAGTTTCTGCTTACACTACAATACCACAGAGAGGAACTTTCATTATTCAAAAGTACAGCAAAAATATATTGGCAGATATTTAAAACAATATCAAAAATAAAATATTTTGCTAGTAACGAACCGAGTCCGTTTATTCTGTAAACTTCGTGATAAGCGTTGTTAATATTCGTATAAACGTGTTCGCCATGAAGAAAATAAAATATTAAAAAGGGTCTTACAAAAAAATTCAACGTTAAATTGCTAGTACTTAAAATACAAAAAGAAAACACATGCAATAGAGCCAAGAGTAAATTACTACTGCAGAAGAATACCGATCACCCACTCCCACAAAGACAAAAACAATTATATCCTCCGCGGAAGAATTTACGACGTCGTTTTTACCAACATCGCTGTGCGCTCCGATCGACACTCCCGGCCGCCACAAACATTTCTGGAAAGGAGGGCGGGGCGGGCGGGGCCGGGGCGGGGGGCGGGGCGGGGGGCGGGGGTGCGGGAACTTTAAATGCGGGCGGGGCCGTGGGGCGGGGAGCCGCGCGAGCCCGGGGACGAGAGCTACGGCCCAGACGCGTCTTCATCCGCGGCGCACGCGCTGCCGTTCGCGAACGTCCCAAGGGCGGGGTAGGGTGGGGTAGGGGTGGGTGGGGGAGGGGAAGGGGGGTGGCTGTGCCGCGGCGGCCGCTGTCGCGCAGTCAATTAGAGCTCAAGTTTGCGGGAGCGCCCGCGCCGACGCGTAGGCGCCACTGCCGCGCCGCGCCGCCTCGGTTTGGAGTTTAAGTGAGTTTGCCAACTCGAAGAAATTTCTACGAATTACTTTTTCCCCGGCTCTCGGATGAAGGGCCGCAAGTTCTGCCCGGCGGCTGGCATCGCGCGGCGCTTGGGGACGCGCCGGGCGGGAAGGCTTCGGGCTGCAGGGGGCCGGCAAGGGAGCGAGGGTTGCGTTGGTGGCCATGGACCGACGAAAGGGAAGGAGGGATTCGACGCAGGGCGTTTTTGGAATTTTATTTATTCTTCTTGCTTGACATACAAATGTCGTTGTTGTTTTTAATTTCTAAGGTTACCCGGGAAGGGTCCTACATAAAAACTTATTAATAATTAATTTAATATTTTTTTTATTTTGAATTGTATACTGAAAATTAAGACGTTATAGGGAAGAATTATTACATGATTTGCGTAGTTTAAATGTATTAGTTGCTGAGCAAAATGGAAGAGAATAAAAACGATTTGATAATTTTAAAATCCATGTACGTATTGGATCTCTAGCCAGTTTTTTAAAACTTGGTCATTACGTTACGAATAAAAAATAAGCTTTTAATATTGAGGTAAAAAATTATTTTGAATAACTTCTAACTTGCGTTTATGTGTCTTTGCAATATCACCTCATATAGGACAATCATATGTTATTGTGGGACGAATAATATATTTATAATTTAAAATTCCTCAATCTGTCGACAGTTTTCATTTTATATTTATGAACAGGTATAATTTAAAGACTGTGGTATGAGCACTATTCGATTTTGAAGAAATGAATCGTTTGCATAATATTTTTTGTCTACTTGTGAACCTAAATATTTAATTGGGTAGAATTGAGGAGTGATGAGGAGGAATGGACGATGGGAACTATGTGGATATGGGATTAGGAAATAAGAATACGTGGACTTTCATGGCAGGGCAAAAAAATGAGGAGGGCAAGGAGTGGGGTGGCTAGAAGGCAAGGGAAAAAGGGGACGAAAAGGTAGCAGAAGGTGCGGGTCTATGACACGAGGGGATTGATGAGGTGAGAGAAGGGATCACTGGCACAAGTGGGGAAAGATGTTTCCGATAAGGGAGTGGCGAGATTGGAGTTTCTGAGCGCTAGTCTGAGGTGAGGGACGGGGAAGGGCAAGGGAAACAGTTAAATGATAAGTGAAAGGAAAAATTACAATAGTGTGTTTTAGTAGAACTGAAACGATTGAAGGGAGAGCATAAATCAACGAAACGGATAGGGCTTTAGAGAAGGACCATCTTAAAAGAAAATGCCTAGAGCTGTCAAAATATTTGATTTTCACAACAATGGCGTGGCGGGGTGGTGATGACCTTTACATGCTATTCCATTCAACATTCAATTTTATTTTGTATTGCAAAGGTACTTCCCTGATAGCCGTTCTCGGAACTACGTAAAATATGGAACATGAGGTACATCAATAGACAACATAAGTTAAGAAACTCTTACTGGCTCCCAGACGATATGACTCCATAGTATTCCCACTTCTAAATATTTGATCCCTCTAGAAATAAAAAATAGAAACATCGAAATTGTAAAAAACAAATAACAAGTAGATTCCACATACTTTTAAGTAAATATAATAAATGAAACAGGTAAAAAAGAAAATTTATTGAAATGGTTCTAGCTTATAAGCTTGGCAAAATGAAAAAATACGTTTTTAATTCTGCAAAACAGTAAAAGATTCTTCATTCAACTTCCTCGCAATTTTCCTCTTTTCCACGCAGTAAATATTGTGATGAAGGAAATCGTAAATCTTTTCCCAGCAACGAGAAAGAGGAGAAGGACAAGCAGGGAAGGATAGCTAATCCTCCCAGCGGCCGCGTCCTCTGCATGCACTAGGCGATTAAATGGCGCAAATTGTGATTTAATGCGAGGGAGTCCAAGCACGAAGTTTTAAACGCAGCCACCTCTGGGATAGTCAGGGCTGCGGCAGCGGCGCTTGTTGCGAGGACATTGGAGCAAAGGAAGTAGCAGAGGCGAATAAGGGGCACGAGGAAGCGTGAGGATGGAGTTGCGCTAAAAGAAAGCAAAATGATGTCACGGCAACTGGCAACGGTACTTTGGAACTACGGTAATGCTGTTATTTTAAACGGGGCGAATGTGAAGGGAATAAAGAGTGGTCTAATGCGAAGATGATGGAGGCGAGAAAAAACGTAGGTGACCCACGACGAAGCGAACTGGCCAAGGAGACGGTTACCGTTGGTTACGGTGGTGAAGCTGACACGAGGGCGACGAAAGTCTGGGAAGTGAAGTGAGAAGACGAGGGCGGCAGATGAGCAGCGAGAGCGAGCGACGAGAGCGATAAAAATTAGGTAGCGAGGACCAGTCAAAGTAACTAGGGAAGGACGCTTTTAAATGCGACTGATCTGAAGTCAAATGGGAATGCAGGCAAGTGCAATGAGACGGCGAAGTGGTGATTCGATTAGGCGGTGAGACGTCGAGGCGGTGAGACCGTGCGGCGGTGGCACGGTGAGGCTGTGAGGTGGTGAGATAGTGCGACGGTGAGACAGAGAAACGGTAAGATCGAGAAGCGGTGAGACAGTGAGGCGGGAAGCGTTGAGGCTGTGTGGTGAAGTGGAGGAGATTCTACGCTGAGGCTGTAAGACCGTAAGGCGGTGTTACGATGAGGCTGTGAGACGGAAAGGCGACGGTGAGGCTGTGAGACGGAGAGATGGTGCGACGGTGAGACAGAGAAACGGTGAGACCGAGAAGCGGTGAGACAGTGAGGCGGGAAGAGTTGAGGCAGTGTAGCAGGGCTGGATTTACCTACAAGCAAAACAAGCAGTTGCTTGGGGGGCCCCATTCACCAGGGGCCCGCGTTTCGGAAAAATATGCATACCATATTTTTTGTCTGTGAAATAATTGTTAATCAAGTAGTCTACTGTGTAACAAAATGTAACACAAGTAAAAATTTCTATAAAAAAATATCAGTTTTCATTTGTATCTGTGCAGAAAGTACTTGTACTATAATATATTTTTTATTTAATAATGATGGAGCTTTTTTTCGGGGGGGGGGGCAACACAATTTTGTGCTTGGGTCACCGCACTACTTAAATCCGGTTGTGCTGTGTGGTGAAGCGGAGGTGCAACGCTGAGGCTGTAAGACCGTAAGGCGGTGTTACGGTGAGGCGGTGAGGCTGCGTGGTGGTGGTGAGGGGCGTTGAGGCGGTGGGGCGGTGCGGAGGTGTGGATGTGAGACGCTGAGCCGTGTGCCGCGACGGAGGCGCCACAGCTGAAGCAGGGCCGCGCGGGGGGACGGGGGTGGGGCGTGAAAAATGGCGCGCGGCGCTGGCTTACGGCTCCTCGAGGCGCGCGTCGCGCCTTGTTACGCCTCTATGAGGAAGCGCTCGAGTGGAGGGGCGCTCCGTCGCACCAAGTTGCTCATCCACAACACCTTTAAGGAACACATCGCCTCCTTTCTTTAAAAAGCAAATTTTACAGCTGGCAAGGAAAACTAATGATAACGTACTACAACGGACAAGGCATAATAAAAGGCGCGGTCTTAACACTTTACAGGATGAATGTATTTTCTTTGGTGTCTCTTCTAGGACATTGCTCGCCTTAGCGACTCTTCTCCTTGTTGAACCCCTAGAAGAAATGTTTCTATTGTGATAGTACAATATATCTCCTTATTTGCATGAAATGCGATCATATAACCTTGCAATTATTTATAATTAGAAGAGTTAATGAATATTTCTTTAAAATCACACCATTCTATTATTTTTATTATTATAGAGTAATGTTAGAATTTTTTGGAGTATATTATTAAAAAATAGATACAATTTTTTTAATTTCACTTTTTAAACTTTATTGATCATCCAAAAGTTTCCAAAATAGCTCTTCAGAGGTGTCGATTTTGACGGCAATCTTGTGAGGTCTGTAGTTCAGATTCCTCAACATGTTTTTTTCACAAAATCCATTACATACTTTGTAAACACAGGACAAAGAACGTAATTGGTGTTCAAAGAAAGATAACACAGATGAACACTGCACTTTTCGTGTCGTAAGAGAACGAGACTGGTTGAAGGTAGCACTTCGCGGGATTTGAGAGGGGGAAACGGCCTAAAGACATTTTGGAGTAGTAGCGCATGGGAGGACGTGTTGGATCTGATAATTGGATCCAAATCAGCGTTTGCCAACTGGCGGAAAAAATGGCGTCGGAGCTCCATTCCGCTCCGCGTGCAGGCGAAACGAGAAGCAGCGTGAGCAAAGGGGGAGGGACAGAAGGGTAGATGGGTGTCGACGGTGACGTAAACCTTGGCGGTGAGCCTTTGGCGGTGTTTCAGGCAAGATGAGAGACCATCTACGCCCGTTAATTTTCTTTCGATTTCGGAAGAAATATTTCTTTTTGTGGACACTGTAACAATGGTGAAGTGTTTAGTGTGTTCGAAAGAACTGCAGTATGTTAAAATTTTAAACCTACAGAGGCATTACACAGATTTGTAACCCAGAGAAATCCGCGAGTTGAAAATAATTTCTAACAATTTACAGATAGCCTGCAATTATGAAATGAGAAAAGGATTTTCTAGATAGTTTATGGAAAAGGTACGGAAATTCCGAGGATGTATATTTATATTTATTCTCAAGTAAAACTGTAAATGATACAATGAAGCCTGGAGTCTAAATTCTTCCACGAGACCTCTCCCGGAAATCTACTTGTAAACATGAATTACACATGCACACAAAATAAAAAACGTTGCCACACCCAAAGACTTGACACATTTTTTCTATGTTTGTCGACACGGTACTTTACATGAATCCCTCCGGACACTTTCAAAATTTTCTCGAGAACAGCTCCAAATTTTTTATTTAAATTTCTTGTGAGAATAGAGTAAAATATAATAACTATAAAAGGTGCCATAGGTCATATTTTCAGATTAAACTCTGAATTGTCGAAAATTTCAAACTTTTTGCGCTGTTTTTACAGCTACGAAATTAAAGATAAATATTTTTCTTTCGAATAAAATTTGTTCTCCATAGTGAGCTCTTTCATTAAAATACAATTTAAAAAAATACAGAAACAAGATTTTCTCAAGTAGGGCTCCAAATTTTTTCTTGAAAATTTTTCTTCAAACAGATAGTGCTAATTGCAGTGTTTAAG